GATCCATTGTGGCGTGGTTGGTAGAAGTGTAAGTTCAGCCAGGAGATTGAAGGGTAAGCAAGACAGAGAGCTGTAATATGGATCCACAGGTGAGAGGTGCGGAGTACATACGGAGTAGCTGAGTTCAAGATGGGAAGCATCGTAGTCCAGGTGGAGATGCTTGTTTGCATTAAGTGCAAACATGTCTTATCTGATTCAAGTGAGTGTCCACGGGTGCTGTAGTACGTATTTAGGTACGTAGTTGTACTCGTTGCTTTTATTTTTATTTTTGGCACTATTGTTATTTAGCTCTGTATCCTATTATTGTTTATTATATTTTGGATCTATTATATTAAACGTGCTGATCACTGTGCAGGTCCCCCCAATTCCACGAGTATAGAAAAAGCGACAATAAGCCGACGCGGCGTAACGACGGAGTAGGCTCATGTCTGTAGACATTTTGAAACAACCCACATGTTTTCGTATTGATTAGTCTGTTTCAGACCTTCCAAACCCCATGAAAATTTTCTATTTACTAGGATCCCTTGGTGAATCCTTAATCTAATTGAAAACCCGACCATCTAATCAGCTACCCACGCTTATATTACATCGAGGGACTTTGTACATTCCATAGCGTGGCACATGCGGTCCACATCACATAAGTCCTCCAGGTATTCCCGAGCAAATCCACTTTGCTTTTTTCCCTCCCTTGCGCCTTCGACCAAATTTTTAATGGAATTCGATCGACGTGTCCTTCTGGCACTATTTCTTTTTAACTTCTGCAGTTCCCTTTGTCTGCTCAACAAGGGAATGATCTGTTAGTCTTACGCCATCCGAGACCATCCGTCCCTCTCAGCACGTCACCCTCTGCCATCGCGTCGGAGGCAGTTTGTCGGACACCCTCCATATGATATAGTCCCGTCGTTCCTCGCCGTGTTCGCCTCGCGCTTCACCGTCGAGATGTTAACTACAAATCCGCCCGCTAGCGGGGCAAGCCGATTCGCAATGGCCACCACAACTATCAAAATCGACGGAATGACTTGCGGAGCGTGCACCTCAGCAGTAGAGGGCGCATTTAAAGGGGTAGACAGTGTGCGCGACGTTTCCGTCAGTCTCATCATGGGTAGGGCCGCTATACAACATGATCCGACAGTGTTGCCGCCTACAAAAATCGCAGAGATGATTGAGGACTGCGGCTTCGATGCTGCAGTACTTTCGACCGAGGAACAAAGGAATCCTGACCCCGCTTCTTCTCCGACTACGCGATTCTCAGTGACGAACTTGGCGGTTGAAGGTATGACATGCGGGGCATGCACGTCTGCAGTGGAAAGCGGGTTGAGCGGTGTCAGCGGGGTGAACTCCGTAGATGTATCACTGCTTTCCGAGCGCGCCGTCGTGGAACATGATGCAGGCATCATTACACCGGAGCAGATCGCAGAGCTCATTGAAGATCGGGGCTTCGGGGCGCGAGTGCTGGACACCGCCATAATGGGCTCCAAAGAGCCATCTGCACCGGCTGGCTCGGAAGAAAAATCTGGGCTTCTGATCACCACTGTCGCAATCGGAGGCATGACATGTGGTGCTTGCACATCCAGCGTCCAGGGTGCATTGGGCAGTGTCGATGGGGTAATCCAATTCAACATCAGTCTTCTGGCTGAGCGGGCGGTGGTTGTGCACGACCCAGCCATACTGCCTGCCAGCAAAATCCCAGATCTTATTGAGGATGCCGGGTTTGATGCGTCGATCGTGTCATCAGAGGCGCAGGCGTCCATTTCCAAAAAGACACAGCAGGTCAATTTAAGCTTGCATGGTCTACGAGACGGCGTTTCTGCCACGGCATTGGAAGACAATCTGTTACAGCAACCGGGTGTTCATTCGGCATCAATAAAAATGGCTACCTCTCGAATGGTCGTTTCTTTCGACCCATCTACAATCGGAATCCGGTCTGTTGTAGAAGTGATTGAGGCTGCTGGTTACAACGCCTTGATTGTTGACTCGGATGATACCAACGCACAGCTGGAGTCGTTGTCCAAAACGAAGGAAATCCAAGAATGGAAAAGATCATTCATCGTCGCCGCCTCTTTTGCGGTTCCCGTCTTCCTCATCAGCATGATTCTCCCAATGTATTTGCCTGGAATTGACTTTGGCAGTTTTGCGCTCTTCCCAGGCCTATACCTTGGAGATCTGGTCTGTCTCGCTCTTACCATTCCGGTTCAGTTCGGCATTGGCAAACGATTTTATGTCACCAGCTTCAAGTCCCTCAAACATCGATCCCCAACCATGGACGTTCTCGTAATGTTGGGCACGTCCACTGCCTTCTTTTACAGCTGTTTCACCATGATCATGGCCCTTTGCAGTATGGACCACAGGCGTCCTAGCACCGTGTTCGACACCAGTACGATGCTCATCACTTTTATCACTTTGGGACGATGGTTAGAGAACCGAGCCAAGGGTCAAACCTCCGCTGCTCTTTCTAGGCTCATGTGTCTGACTCCATCTATGACGACTATCTACGAAGATCCCATTGCGGCAGAGAAACTGGCTGAGCGCTGGAACTCTAAGCCTACATCTAGCGCAACTGAACAACCCACGGTGGCTGAAGACATAATTGTGAATCAAAAGTGCATTCCCACCGAACTCATTCAAGTCGGCGATGTTGTTATCCTTCACCCCGGAGATAACGTGTCTGCGGACGGTGTGGTCATCCGGGGCGAAAGCTATGTTGACGAGAGTATGATCAGTGGAGAGGCACTACCTATTCACAAAAAGAAAGGCAGTCAAATCATTGCTGGGACCGTGAATGGCACAAACTCTATTGATTTCAAAGTCATTCGAGTCGGCAAGGATACCCAGTTGAGCCAGATTGTAAAACTGGTACAGGACGCGCAGACGAGCCGTGCTCCGATTCAGCGCATGGCTGATATCGTTGCTGGTTACTTTGTCCCCGCCATCATCGGTCTTGGTTTGATCACATTCTTTGGTTGGATGTTCCTCAGTCATGTACTGCCTCATCCGCCCACAATCTTTGAAATGGCAGGCAGCGGTGGCCGAGTCATGGTTTGCTTGAAGTTGTGCATCTCAGTCATTGTCTTTGCGTGCCCCTGTGCTCTAGGCCTGAGCACCCCGACCGCAGTCATGGTTGGTACTGGTGTCGGCGCGGAGCATGGCATCCTCGTTAAGGGAGGTGCTGTGCTAGAAGCTGCCACTAAAGTGACTCATGTTGTCTTTGATAAGACGGGCACCCTAACAACAGGTCGGATGAGTGTGGACCACACCCGAATCGAACCTGGATGGACAATAAACGACTGGCGCCGTCAGCTCTGGTGGCTTATTGTCGGTCTCGCAGAGACAGGCAGTGAACATCCAATCGGTCGAGCGATCTTCTCTGCAGCCATAATCGAATCAGGTCACCCCGGAGAAGATGGGCTACCAGGAAGCACGGGTGATGTTGAAAACTCTGTTGGCAAGGGTGTCTCTGCCATCGTCGAACCTACATCTAGTGGCCAGCGTATCCGACACCATGTCCTCCTTGGCAACGCCAACTTCCTTCGGTCCAAAGACGTCCCCGTGCCTACTGATGCAGATCCCGACTCTGCGGAACCTGTTGAAGACCCGGAGGCTGGCGCCCCCAAGCCTGGTGCTACCGCAGCCGGAATTACACGCATCCACGTCGCAATCGACAACCAATACGCCGGAACGATCTCTCTCCGGGACACAGTGAAAGAAACAGCCGTGGCGGCAGTAGCGGCCCTGCATCGCATGGGCATATCAACCTCCATGGTAACAGGCGACACGCTTTCAACAGCGATATCAATCGCCACAACAGTCGGCATCCCAACCACTTCAATCAGCGCCTCCGTCTCCCCATCCGAGAAACGCTCAATCGTCTCCGCCCTCCAAGAACAAGGCGAGCGCGTCGCCATGGTCGGCGATGGCATCAACGACTCCCCCGCGCTGGCCACAGCATCCGTTGGAATCGCCCTCGCATCCGGCACAGACGTAGCGGTCGAGGCTGCCGATATCGTCCTCATGCGTCCGGACGATCTACTCTCTGTCCCAGCCAGTCTCTCCCTGTCGCGCTCGGTCTTCAAACGCATCAAGTTGAACTTGATCTGGGCTTGCATGTACAATGTCATCGGCCTTCCATTCGCCATGGGCCTTTTCCTCCCCTTCACGGGCTTCATGCTACCACCTATGGCCGCCGGTGGTGCCATGGCTCTTTCCAGTGTCTCCGTTGTTGTTAGCAGTTTGCTATTGAAGTTCTGGCGTCGCCCGTCTTGGATGAATGTTGAACGTCTTGAGAAGGAGCTTCGCTCGGGTGCGATCTCTCCGGCTGGTGTGGCGCATCGCGGTAATGCTCGTAAAGGGAGCTGGTGGGCTTCGACAAATATTTTCTCGGATAGCCCACGCTCTCTGCGTCGTCGTGTTGGGAATGTTTTCTCTTCGCTTTGGTCTCTGGTCACAGGCAAAGGACCTATGCCGGCTGGTCGGGGTGATGAGGGTTATGTTCCGCTGCAGACAGTTGAGCCACCTGTTTGATTTCGTTTTGTCCAATTCTCCATATAAAGACTTGTCCTGTATAATGGCTGTCTTTGTTTGATACATCATGTCCATGTTGTTGGATTGGTATATTTCGGTCTCGGTTTTGGCGTTTTGTTTTTGTTTATTTTTAGTTATTTGATACCTCCCCCGTTACGGTCATTCCTGCACTTTTTACAAGAAAATCCTCACATAGGAAAATAATAACAAAAACATAAAGGATAAAGGATAAAGAATAAAGAATTAGTAGGTATATTAGGTGTGCTTGCCAGTATAGAATATGTCTACCAATATTATTTATCTACATATATATTAGTTGTCCTACAATTCTAACCTACAGATTCAACATTCTCCAAGTTCCACAGTGCCTGTCAATATCTACGTATACCAATTATACGATATCGTCCAGTGTATAATATCACCAGTTACTCCGTAACGTAGCTTGCTAACTATAGTTAGCGTACACGTTGCACCAAAGGTTATCATCTAATTGTGGCCATCGTAGCCATGTGCGGATACTTGAGCGCAAATCCCTCATTGAGCGACCAGTTACTGTAGTTGAGGACATGTGGTTCAAACTCTGGGTTTAGAACCACGTCCAAGGAATCGTTCCTGACCAGCAAAGGTTTCGAGCTGGGCCAGTTAATCGAAACAGAACGGCCGTAGTCAATATCAAACTCTTCTCGAGTATACTCAACTGAGCCCGAAACCATGGCGTTGCGCAACTGAGGGAATGGCATAAAATCGGTAAAGATTTGGTGAGGCGTGTTATTTTGTACTTCAGTCGGCCGAAACCATTCCGGTACGTCCTGGAGGGTTTCGAGAGATGGAGAAAGACGGTACTACTGCTGTAAGCAATCTGCTGCGTCCAATTGAAGGCGATAAAAGAAAAAAGAGGAGGGAGAATGCGGATGAGCATATTATGATAGAACTGACACGAAGTAGACGATAAAGGAGAATGAAGCCCCCCCCACAATACATCCATCCCGCAAAGGCCTTCTCGCTTCAACATTTTGAATAAAATCCGGGATACAACGTTGTCCCCCTCCCCCACAAAAAGAAGATCGGGAAGGGATGGACTCAATGGGACAGGTGGTGCTTGAGGCTGGTTGTGCGCTTTGATCACCGCATCGTAGACGGTATGCTCGAAGCAGTCTGCATACGAGGAGTGCACCCTTGGTTGGCAGTGACAGAATGGCAGCGTTACACCTCGATACCTGAATATGGTCGGTGGAGAAGTATCTATATGTGCATAGATAGTAGTAGGAGCTTTTGAATCATGCACAGAGATGACCTCTCTGTTGGAGAATTCCTGGGTTTGGCGATGGGCGTCAAGTGTCGTTTTATTTGCCCCCGTTTCTGACGGATGTAAGGCGGAAGCAACCAATTGCACGCTATCCTGGGCATATGGGGAACAAGAATCGTTATTTTCAGGCAGACTGCCTACTGCGACAGGCGAATGATTGAGCTCCCTCGATACCACGCTGCAATCCACTGCCAAGAGACTTCGATCTGTATCCCCATATAGCTTTGGGGGTGCTTGTCCGCCGTGGGCCAAATTTGACGTCAAGCTGCTAGGACTAGAGCTGGAGCTCGAGTCTCCTCTCGTACCTATGATCCTACCGTCTTGCGGGGTGGACCTATCCGCCGGCAGGGACATTACAGAGGATTGGGAAAGATGAGCGCTGGGATGTGTACTGTGCAGAGTATTCATTCCATCCAGAATCATCGCCATGGTTTTCTGGAGGCTGTCCATCTGCTGTTGGATTTTCTGAACATCGGCCTGGATCTGAACTAATCGGTCCTTGTCCGTCTCGCGTTTGATTCTCTGCGCCTGCTTGTCTAGCTCTCTCTTTCTTTCCAGTTGTTTTGATGTCCGGCGCCGGACCGGCTGCTTCGGACCGGGGTCCATCTCCATGGGCTGCGGGGAATAAAACTGCAGGGCGAGAATCTATCTGAACAGCGAGATAGACGACATCGTCCAGTTGAGCTCCGTGGCTTCCAAGGTTTAAGGTAGCTCTGAGTCAGCACTCCAAAGTGGGACCTCGGGAAAGAAACCGAAGAATGGACGATGTCGTCCACCTTTCGGATCACGACATGGACTGGAAGTGTTGAAACCTTTTGGAGTATACTGTGTTTACGATCTCATGATCCCGGTGGATGTTTCTATACCGTATTCCAATATCTAAGTGAATGATAGCTGCCTTGAAGGGTGGTCCCTCTATGACATGTCTATTCGAGCAAAAGATGGGTTCCTGGATTATAGTTCTATTTGGCTTAGAGCGCTCACGTTCCAAATCTGATAGTGCTACTCATTACTTCATCATCCCACTTACTCTCCATGTCTTTTAATCTCCTCTAGGGCTGTCTCCTATACAGTTTTCCTTTTACCCTTGCAATAGTCTATCCCTACAAAATGCCGACCCAAGCTTCAAAATCTGATGAGCCTCGCAATTATTCAGAAACATGCCTACTTTGTGGTGTATGCATTTTGCAGTTGGACGGGGGGACAATCAGCAAAGATCACCTGGATGTGCTCAAGGAGTCTCAATGGGAAATCCATCAAAAACCCCCGATTCCTGAGCATATTCTCGTGCCATCGACTGAAGTGGAAAATAAAAGTTTCTCTAAATTTCCTTGGTTATCATCATGCTATCAGCGAGGGGGTAAGTTGACATTCTCATAGAAACATTTTAAATTTGAAGCTAAAAGTAAATCCAAGCTGTCAGATACGCTTTTTCCTCAGAATATGATCTCATGGGAATTGGCCCAATTGCACGTCTCGGTGGTCAACCATACCAGCTTCCAGGAGACAAAAACACCGCACGAATTTGTGGACGAGAGGCAATACCACAGTATGATGATACAATATTCACTCCTTTCCATCCAGGAGGTCACTGGATACATCCAAGTCTTTATAAACACAAAAATATGGGATTTGTGTTTCACTATTAATATGGGATTTGTGTTTCACTATTATTGTTGGGAGATCCTTGGCCATCTGGCTGGGAAAGAGTTGATTGAGAAGACACTTGGTCAAGTTATCCAGGCCGCGAGGCAGTATTGGCAAACCCATGAAGAATGGGGTGTTACTGACATAGATACATTATTTCGTGCCCAGCTCGACGGGGTTCCATACGCGAGATATGAAAGCTACGCTTATGGCTGTGATATCTTTGTCAATCCATGGATTATACCCGAGCTTCAAAATATCATCCAACTTGCCCAAAATACGATTGAAAAACGCAAAAGCTCCCTTCGAATGGCAGAAATTATTTGCCCTATCACCTATACTCAATCCGATGTGCAGAATATGCATAACATGTTGTCCGTGTTTGCATTGAATTTACCAGATGCCTTTTGGAGAAGTCGATTACAATCCAAACGTGATTTGTTCTTCGAGGTGGATTTGCTGGAGACTGATTCAGTGGATTGGCAGCTTTTGTGGCTAGGGTTGATGGGCCTTCTTTCCGATAAATGGTATAACTCCAGTGGATTGGCACACCGCGAGCAATTACTTGGGCCAATTAGGGGGATCATTGCAAATTTTCAAGAAATTCGACACGGACATCTCGCTGGGTAGTAGTATCGCAGGTTCCCTCGTTCTTTCTTGCTTGATGACAGATCGAGTTATGGCGCTTTGTTATTCTAATGAATACAATTAACCAATGCTAAAAGCCCACATCCTTCCTCGAATTTCTCGGAGCTCGCATACTGTCATGCGTTCGTCTTGATTTAGTTCATCATTCTCTAAGTGTCTGCAATTTCTTTGATTGGGTGGTCCTTTTCTATCGAATCTGTTGACCGCATCTCCATCTATTCCGACAATCTGTACGGAGTAGTAAAGCCATTGGGGCGTAGCTCACAAGGCCAAATTTCGAGTCTAAAATTAAATACGATCACATCACCGGGACCGCGGATTCAGACCTATTGGGATTCTGCGCCGCCGGTGGAAAAATGGTCACATGGCATGGACTAGCTGATGAAGCCATCTTCGCCAACGGAACATCGGACTATCACCAAAAGGTACTGGAGCGGGATCCCTCAGCTGTGGGGCTTTATCGCTATCTCGAGGCTCCTGGGGTGGCGCACTGCCAGGCGTCGAGTTCTAGTGCCCCATATCCCCAAGACGTCCTGGAGAGCTTGGTTGCGTGGGGGAAGAGGGAAAGGCGCCAGAAACGCTCAGGGCGGAGTGGAAGGATATGACTATACAGTCTACGTTAATGAGGAGAGGACTTTGCCAGTGGCCGCTGGTAGCCTGATATGTTGGGGGTGATATCACGCAGGCGACATCGTTTACGTGTGATACCCATTTTTGATAGACCGACTCAACTGTACTTGGTGCCTACCAGGATACATTTGAAGATGTGTTGCAGATGGATTAATGCATTAGACATGATATCAAGTGACAGCAATGTGCATACATGTTAAATATATTCTTTGCAAATCTGGATACCGGGCTGTTCATCTTCATGCAACTATGCTGCGAACAGATCCTAATGTCACTAGTAGCTACTCATCCACTTTGAAAATCCTCCTGATCCACGATTTCTTTGCAGCAATCGAGGCCCTCGCTACTTCAGTTTGGCTATCCTCCGGTGCACCAGGCATCTGCATCTCGAAACCATGAAATGCCCCCCTCCAGACGTGAAGCTCCGTAGAGACACCACACTTCCACAAGAGCGATGCGTACGCAACGGCCTCATCCCGAAACACCTCCGCCTCTCCCACATCAATAAACGTCGGCGGTAACCCCGTCAGGTCCGTCGCACGAGCAGGTGCAACCATGTAATCAACTTGTGCCGGTCTGTCTTGTCCAATGACACAGTCCCATGCCATCTGATTGGTAACCCCACACCACGGTCCAACATGTTCAAACTGCTTCGCCGACACCGTCTGGCCCCGATCATCCAGCATAGGCGTAAGCAGCATTTGTGCAAGCAGGTTTAGCGTTGGGTGCTGGTTCTGCTGCGCAAGCAAGGAGCATCCTGCTGCGATGGGACCGCCGCCGGAGCCGCCCAGAATCATGATTTGTGCAGGGTCGATCCCAAGCTCGGCTGCGTGATCTGCTACCCAAACTAACCCGGCGTAGCTGTCGTTCAAAGCCGCCGGGGCTGGATGCTCTGGGGCTAGACGGTATTCAACAGATATTGCGACAATATCAATACCTTCAAAGAAGCGGATTATGTTGTCTATCGCGCTGAATCGGTCGCCGGCTATTTGGCCGCCGCCGTGGATAATGTACACTGCTGGTCGGGAGCGGTTTGTAGATGACTTGCTGGTGAACACAGAAAGAGTGACTGGGCCATCCAGCGAATCAGCGATATATTCTGCATGTTGCATGTGTGGAATCCCAGTGAGGATGGTTTCGGCGGAGAATGTAGAGGTCACAGCTCGAATCTTGTCGATAGTATCGAAGAAGGAGAGATCGAGAGCATCAACTCTAGGCTGAAGTGCCGGGTCGTACGGGGGCCGGAACATCTCAGGGGGGCGTGGCAGTAGACATGTCTCAATGGAAGTTCTGGAGGATAGTTCAACAGAGGTAAGGCTCGTCCCTGGTATACTTATATAGACCCAGATAGATGGATTTGAAATTGTGCGCCATCACTTGCATCCACTTTGAATATCAGACTAGACAGTATTGAGGCTCGAGTCTTTAACTTGGTAAATGAAGTTAATGCCTTCAACAACTCGAACCAATCATCTTCTTCTTATTGTGGACGACATCGTCCACCTCTCCTCCTTGGACCCGCCAGTGCTAGATATTCCCCGGAACTTTCATGTCCGGTCTCACAGGTTGCATAATTGATGCATAAAATCGATTGATATATCCAGACTGACTATTTGCTGGTGTCGGGTCAGAGGAGATTGGTGAGGTGCGAAAATTAAGGATATACGGATAGCACAAGTATCCAAATCGGGAAGGCCATGTGGATTGCATCTCGTGGCGACTAGTCGAGTACCCTCTGTATGAACTAGTAAGGGCTGAACATGTCCGAAATAAAAACAACTTATGTGCTGTATGTTTTGCGTTGCAACAATGAGCCTTAACAAAGCCCATGAAAGTGCACATGGTGTTCTGCCGACTCTGCTTCTTGCATATATATATATATGAGAGTTATGGCTTGACAAAAGGGTAAGATTGCAAGGCTGATATTATAATTCACCTAGAGGTCGGGCAAAATGTGACTCAATAATAGGGCGTATAATACTCTCTTATTAGTCCCAGGGTTTTCGAAAGGAGGAGCCGGTGGTGTAGGAAATATGCTCATCGATATGTAGTACATGTACATATCAGGATCCGTGTCGGCTTGGCCGGTATGTGATTTATACTATTGTACTCCATAGTAAATACATAAATGCATGCATTTAAATACATCAGACCGTTAATATTTGACATTGCATTCATTCGTTCAAAATATTCCAGTGAATGAGTGATCTATAGGATCCACACTAAACCTATTTGGAGATGCTGGCCTCAGGCAACGAGATTGGTCGGATTGAAGTGCAAACGATGCAAACAAGTGGGCGGGATGACTCCGAGGCTTTTTTGTGCTCTTCTTTGATAACAAGATCGCGCGTTTCTTTGGTGCTATTTCTGGAGAAAGTATCTGAGGATCTATCCTGACCTCTCTCAGTTTACTTTCACCAGCTCCGGGCTTAACGCGTTGTTGACACATTGAAGGTAAAATAGCCCTGCCGCTTTCCCACCGGCGCTTCATGAGAACTAGTTCTTGCGACTCTCTACAACGATAAAGAATTCATTGCTAACACTCCTTACAGATATGGCTCCCAAGCAGAAATCCGGGCAAAAGCCGAAGCCCAATGCGGCGGAGGAAGTGGAAGAGACATTTCAAGCTGTGGTAGGTCTAGTAGTTGGCAAATCGTTGCGTGACTGTTGCAGCCAAAGTCCTCTCTGTGTTATATGTTTGCTGACTTGTGCCTTTTCTTAGGTGCTCGCAGATACCTTTGAGACAAGATTCGAGCCATTCACCCGCGACAAGCCTCGTGTATGTCCCTACCACAAAACATCCGTGTCCCCAAACGCCGACATTAACCAACGAAATTATTACAGTGTCTTTTGCCGCTCGCAAATACGCCCTTGATCGAATACACCCTCGAATTTCTGGCCAATGCGGGCGTGGAGGAGGTCTTCCTCTACGCAGGAGCGCACTCGGATCAGCTGGAGAAATACATCAAGTAGGCTTGTCATAGGGACTCCCTCTGATACGGATGGCAGAGCTGACCTATATTGTTAGTGCATCAAAATGGAGGGCGCCATCCTCACCATTCAAGCAATTCACTTTCCTTAAGTCGACCTCCACCTCTGTCGGTGACGTTATGCGTGATCTGGACGGCAAGCACCTTATCACGGGAGACTTCATTGTCGTGAGCGGCGACGTGATCAGCAACCTACCCATTGAGGGCGCATTGGCCGAGCACCGGGCCCGCCGAGCAGTTGACAAAAATGCGATCATGACGATGGTTCTAAGAGAGGCTGGCCTGCAACACAGGACCAAGTCTACCTCAGTTTCCCCAGTTTTCGTCATTGACCCTACCAAGGACCGCTGCCTCCACTACGAGGAAATCGATCGCCATCCACATGACGAGCAGTCATCTCGTCTGAATATTGACGCCGAAATTATTCTCAAAAACCCCGAACTGGATATCCGCCAAGACTTGATCGACTGCAGCATCGATATCTGCACCCCGGACGTACTGAGCTTATGGTCAGATAGTTTCGATTACCAATCGCCGCGGAAACACTACCTGTTCGGTGTTTTGAAGGACTATGAGTTGAACGGCAAGACTCTGCACACATACATCATCAAGGACCACTACGCTGCGCGCGTGCGCAACCTGAAGGCCTACGATGCGATAAGCAAGGATATTCTCTCGCGCTGGACATACCCCTTGTGCCCGGATACGAACTTGCTCCCTGGTCACACGTACACACTTCGTAAGGGCAGCATGTACCAAGAAACCGGGGTGACCCTGGCACGCTCTTGCGTCATTGGGCGCCGCACAGTCATCGGAAAAGGCACTAGCATTGGAGACCGGGCAGAAGTCCACAACTCCGTGCTCGGTCGAAACTGCAAAATTGGCCGCAATGTCAAACTGGATGGTGCCTATGTTTGGGACGATGTCGTGATCGGCGATAACACAGACGTCCGTGGGGCAATTATCGCCGATGGCGTGGTTATTGGCAAGAATTGTGCCGTTGCCGCGGGAGCACTCCTCTCCTATGGTGTGAAAATCGCTGATAACATTTGGGTGGAGAGTGGGAAGCGCATCACGAAAACTCGGAACGACGGTGGCGTGGGCAAGAACGATCCCGCAGTCGTTGGTGAAGATGGCGAGGGCTATGAGTTCATTCATGGCGAGGAAGATGAGGATGAAGACGACGACATGAGCGTAGCCTCATCGGGACTTGGTATGTTGTTTCCGAGTGTGTCTCCTCCGGTCCAAATTACTAACTTTATGCCATCTACAGTGTACCGCATGCCCAATCTCTCACTTTCTTCCGCCTCCATTTCAACACTTTCATCTGAAGTCTCTAATACCTCTTGGGCACGATCTGAGCGGAGCAGTTTCTCCGCAGACGAGGATGCAGACAACTTCCACCACGACGCATCAGTCAGCTTGTTCGACAGTCTACGTGAAGGTGTCGCAGCAGATGTTGTGCAGCTCGAGCTGGTCACGCTGCGCATGAGCGCAAACGCCTCGGACAACCAGGTCCGCCGCGCCATCGTGACATCGTTCATGAAGCACATCCAGCAGCTCATGGAGAGCGGCAAGGGTGCCGGCCCAGCAGTTAACGGGGTTTTCACAGCATACAAGGAGGTGGTTGAGCGCACTCTATTCGATCGCAACAAGGAACAGAAGAAGGATCAGGTGGATCTACTGCTCTCACTCCAGCAGGATCTTATTCATCGTAACAAGGGCGATACCGTCCTTCTCTTTACCGCCAAGTCTCTATATGAACTTGACCTTATCGAGGAAGAGGCTTACGAGCAGTGGTGGAACGATGAGCGCTCTAGTAACACCGAGGAAATGCGGACTGTCCGCAGCCAGACCCAGCAATTTGTTGATTGGCTCGCCGAGGCAGAGGAGGAGAGTAGCGAAGAAGAATCCGAGGAGGAGAGTGATGATGAGTAGATACCACATGTTTTTATTAAAAAAATTCCAATATGACGTTCAAGGTTCTTTGTTTTTACATAGTGCCTGCTTCTTGTATGGTAACTATACAACGTTGTAGAGTATGTACTTTAGAGATCTACAACACTTCAGGATTGACCATTAGTCAGATATAGACATCTTCTTTGAAAACCTAACATAATTCTCTATACGGAGAACTCCGTAGCCTATGGAAGCCTAAAGCCTCTGCAGGCAAACGAGGCTGGGGCACTGGAATGATTCATATCTGAGTCAATGGGCTGAAAGAGGATACGGAGATCCATCAGCTGACCAATCTTGAAATATTTTCTTATCTAGGGAGTTCAATGTTTTGTTTGCGTTTTCAAATTACAATAGAGTTATAGACATCTGGGGATTCAAAATCATATTCTAAGTACACTCTTAGAGTATTTCAAAGTCGAAAGTCCTAATTCCTTCGAACACCGGTTGGAGCCGCCTTCGGGGCCAACAGCCCGGAGATCTTACGCTTCCCCACTCCCCTCTATCCGTGCCCGTCACAGGTTTTACCCAGTGACGTCTAGCCCGATCTCCCACATCCCCCTTGCCGGCATCTTTGCCGTTACGTTCACCACGCCTCCAATAACGCGAAAGAGAAAGGCGGCTGAGGCGATTGCGGACGAGGCACTGCCAAAAGCCGCCCACGGCTCCCGGAAATCCACTTCTGTTTCCGACCCACGCTCCCACCAAAGCGAGTCTACAACCGCAATAGAACCCACAGAGAGGGAAAGTCCCGTCAGTTCCGGTTCAAAAAAGAGGCTCTCCGCGACGCCCACCACCGCCAGTATGGACTCTGACGATGAGTTCATGAGCGACGTCTCTAGCCAGGATGATTTCTTGGGTACTCAGGGTTCTGAGGACGAGAGCCTAGGTGAAGGTGCGTATCTCTGTCTGATACCTGCGTTGCTTTCTTTCGCTTTCTTCTTCTGTGTGTCTATCTACACCTATACTATGGTAACTAACAAGCTGTGCCTTGGGAAGCAGACTTCGATGATCTCGACGCCGGGTTTTCTGACGATAAAGACCTCATCAAACATAAAAAGAAGCCGTACGAAGTCGAGTTCAAGGTTCTCGACCCTCCAGATATCGATCATGAACAGCTTGGCCAAGTCAACGAGGTTTGCGCCATCCTTGGGCTACCGCCTGAGTCGGTGGCGATCTTGTTGCGGTTCGGGCGGTGGAACAAAGAAAAGTTGATCGAGTCCTATATGGAGCATCCGGAGGAGACGCTGGAGGAGGCTGGTCTTGGGTCGAACTTTGAGGGAACCGCGAAGACCGAGCGTGTCCCGGGCTTCATGTGTGACATCTGCTGCGAGGACGGGGATGACCTCGAGACGTATGCCATGCGCTGTGGTCACCGATATTGTGTTGACTGCTATCGGCACTACTTGGGACAGAAAATTAAGGAGGAAGGAGAGGCTGGGCGAATCCAGTGTCCAGGCGATGGCTGTAGTCGCATCGTGGACTCCAAGTCGCTGGATCTGCTCGTGACAAAAGAGCTTCAAGGAAGGTGGGTGTTCTAATTTGCAGGCTGCTTTTAGATGGAAGTCAGAGTTCGCTAACACATGTCTCACTGCAGGTATCGTGAACTTTTAACTCGGACCTACGTCGACGATAAAGAAAACCTAAAATGGTGCCCAGCACCAAATTGTCAATATGCCATTGACTGTGGGGTAAAGAACCGCGATCTCCGTCGCGTAGTGCCAACAGTGCGATGTTTCTGCAAGCACGAGTTCTGCTTTGGCTGTTCCCTCAGCGACCACCAGCCTGCGCCATGCACGCTGGTCAAAATGTGGTTACAGAAATGTGAAGATGACTCCGAGACGGCCAACTGGATCTCGGCAAATACCAAAGAGTGTACCAAGTGTAACTCGACGATCGAGAAGAACGGCGGCTGTAATCATATGACTTGCCGCAAGTGCAAGTACGAGTTCTGCTGGATGTGTATGGGCCTCTGGTCCGAGCATGGCACAAGCTGGTATAACTGCAACCGATACGAAGAAAAGTCAGGCGCAGACGCGCGCACTGCTCAAGCCAAATCGCGTTCATCCCTGGAGCGCTACCTACATTATTATAATCGGTATGCGAACCACGAGCAGTCCGCGAAACTCGATAAGGATTTATACCTGAAGACCGAGAAGAAGATGACTAGCCTCCAGTCGCAGTCTGGTCTATCCTGGATTGAGGTGCAGTTCCTAGACACCGCATCCCAGGCCCTGCAGCAGTGTCGCCAGACCTTGAAGTGGACTTATGCATTTGCATTTTACCTTGCTCGCAACAATCTGACTGAGATTTTTGAGGATAACCAGAAGGATCTGGAGATGGCCGTCGAGAGTCTCAGTGAGATGTTCGAAAAGCCAGTTGCCGAACTGGCAGGACTCAAGGTTGATATTCTGGACAAGACTGCTTATTGCAACAAGCGCCGGGTGATTCTATTGAGTGACACTGCTGAGAACCTGAAGAATGGTAAGAGGGAATTCCACATGTGTTTTCTTGTTTCCCTACATTGCTAACACATGTTTTCTAGGAGAGTGGTCGTTTAACATTGAGTGGTAAATCATCACTCACTCTAACCCCCGCTCGCCGTACACTACGGACGAGGCCTTGACGACGTAAACGACATCTACTTCTTTACAAGAAGTTTCAGCATACCTTTTCCTTTTACTCTACCATCCATAACACTTAAGCCATTAAGATCATCGCCCTTGAACTGGTTTCGCAGCAGCAAAGGTCGTATCCATCCATCCCCAGGGCTGACACGGGCCTTTTTTCCCCCGCTTCTTCGAATTGCGTCGAATTGCGTGCATGTATCCTCATTTGATGAGGGCTTTTCTTTTGGTGTGTGCTGCTTTCATCACAGATTCAGTATTCTATTTTTCATTGCTTTTGAGTTCAGGCGCAGCGGCTTTTTTTAACCGAATTGATTATTTCCAGATGACATAACAGGCAGATAGCAGTGAAGTCCTCCCATTCAATGCATCTTTCCTGTGTATGCTGTAGTGTGTGGAAGAAAAACAAGGGCTCTGCCTATGTACGCTCCTATATAATATAGAGTCAGTGGCTCTTACGGTATGCAGCTCAAAGTGATATACAACATATACAACGATCTGCCCCTTGACGATGAAGTGTAAGATTTTTTTTCCCGAGAAACAAGGGGCCCTCGCAGAATCCGAGTCAATATAGACCAGATGAGTTTAGTTCGCGGCTTGTAGTCCCACCGGGCCTCGGCATGCCCCAGTGAAAAACCGCGTGTTCTGCTTTCTGCTTCGCCTCCCAAGTTTGAAATGAAAGCCCAGCCTAGGAAGTTAACAATGGACATGAGATTTAATATGAACAATATTACACCTATCTATGGAGTATGAAGGAGACGCTTGTGCAAGTATTTTAATGAACAAAAAAACCTTCTGGAAGACCAGGAAGCCGAAAGCTCCACTCAATAATAAGATGAGTTAGGCGAAATGTGGTCAAGGGCGAACGATGGCTTCCAAGGTTATTAGGGGGCGCGGTCTTATCAGATTGATAAAAATCAAGGGGTACCAGCTATGTACCTGTACGGTGGTTGCTACACTGTAAAGGTACTGGTATGGTACTTTACATAAAAAAGTTAAGGTGTGTGCTTTGTTGGGACCAGGGTCTAAACTCCGTCATCGGATGTTTCGGAGACATTATTGTACTATTTATTGGTATTCGTTATATGTATGTGTCATTCTTCCGGGGCTATCCTAAGGAGTACAAGTTACTACGTAGCATATGAAGTTCGGCTTCGGCCTTTCAGATTATATTGTTTAAGTACTCCGTAGTTCCGAGGCATGGTCTAGCCGTCAATTCTGATTAAGCATGTACACATTCTCCAGAGCCTACAAAGTACTTCTAAAGGGACCCGAAGTAAGGAGAATAAGATAGAAGGGGAATATGTAGAAAATAGTCTCTAATAGTCCAAAGAATCGAAATATAACATAGTAGAATAGGATCCCCAATCCAGAATAACCAACCTGGCAAGTCCGTGAATAATTTCCCTAGCGCCGTTTTCCGCTCCAAAACACCTAAATTTCCAATATTTCCTCTCCAGGTTATTCCGTTTGAAAAAAAAAATAATAAAAGTTCATCTTTTACTTTTACTTTTATTATTTTTTTGCTTCTTCTACTCTTCAATTTCTTCATTGGTTCTCTCAATTTGTTAACTTTTTGTCTTTTGACACTGTGTCGTTGGTCTTGTGCCTGTGTCTCCGCGGGATCTCCAATCCAATCCCCGTTTATCTCGTCTTCACCTTTTCCTTTCCTCCACATCCGCCACAGCAAACCAACTCCCTTCCTCTCCGCTCGAACTCTTCATCTGCTACAGCTGCGCCTTGAGCTAGCGGAAGCTCCATGGCGGCTTCCGATCAAATCCCCGGACAGGAATTCGAGTATGTCGCTCTTCGATGGATTTTTTTTCCCTCCCCAGGCAATGGGGCATCGGGATCGCTGGAATGAACACAGGGACCAACACATCTTATATTCTGGTGATATGATATCCTCCAGCTATTGCTTGACTGTCCCTGTTGAGCATCCTGACTTTCTTGTTCGCCCTGTGGTCGCTCTGCGGAATCCGGTTTGGTAGCCGAAACTAATGCGATACGTCCTGTTTTAGCTACGAAGCCCTTCCTTCCAACTATGGCCTCGGCCGGAATATGCTAGCTGGTGCTTTCGCGGGGATAGCAGTATGTTTACATGATTGTTGGGGATGTTTGTGAGGATTTTTGGCTGATCAAAATAAAAGGAACACTCGGTGATGTACCCGGTTGACTTGCTCAAGGTAAGCTTGACTTTTGGGTCGAAAGTGTTGGAACTAGGGGTGAAAAGGATCGAGCGCTAACTATTTGACCATCGCTAGACTCGCATGCAAATCCTGAGCCCTTCATCTGGCGGTCTCTACACCGGATTGACCAACGCGGTCTCTACAATCTATCGAGTTGAGGGCTGGCGGACACTGTGGAAGGGAGTCTCGAGTGTGATTGTCGGCGCAGGTGTGTATATCGTGGGAAGTCCTGAGTTGAAGACTCAATTCTGATTCGCGACGATAGGTCCCGCCCATGCGGTCTACTTCGGTACATATGAGATCGTGAAGGAAATGGCTGGTGGTAATGTCGATGATGGACATCACCCCTTGGCTGCCGGTAAGATTTTCTGCTGTTGAATTGGAGGTTTTTTGTGCAACAACTGACTTGATTATCGTGCAGCTATGAGTGGAGCGGCCGCTACCATTGCCAGCGATGCGCTGATGAACCCATTCGATGGTAAGTGACCCATGTGACGCAATAAAATGACGCCCAACTAACTCAATTCTTTAGTCATGAAGCAACGTATGCAGGTTCACGGCTCAGTTCACAAGACCCTGGCGCAATGCGCCAAGACTCTCTACCGCACTGAAGGTCTCCAGGCCTTCTACGTCTCCTACCCTACCACACTTTGCATGACCGTGCCCTTCACGGCCACTCAGTTCGTTGCCTACGAGTCGATCTCGAAGGTCATGAACCCCAAGAGTGATTACGACCCATTCACCCACTGCATCGCAGGTGGTCTGGCTGGTGCCTTCGCAGCTGGTATCACCACTCCCCTTGACGTCGTGAAGACACTCCTTCAGACCCGCGGCCTCGCAGAGAGCGAGGAAGTGCGGTCTGTAAAGGGTCTGTTCAACGCCGCTGCCATCATCAAGCGCCGGTTTGGTTGGGCTGGCTTCCTGCGTGGCATGCGCCCTCGGATTATTTCCACTATGCCGAGCACTGCAATTTGCTGGTATGTACCATTCTGAGACTCAGTTTCTCTCAAT